AGACCACCCCTCCTTTCCCTCCTCCTTGGCATACTTAGTGTGAAGATGAGAAGGTAGAAAACTTCATGATGACCCACTTCTGCTTAATGAACAGTAAATATGGTTTTCTTCCTTTTTTTGAGACAGAGTCTCAAGCTGTCACCCTGCATAGAGTGCTGTGGCATTATAGCTCACAGCACCCTCCAACTTGGGCTCAAGTGATCCTCTTGCTTCAGTTTTTCTATTTTTAGAAGCAACGAGGACTTGTTTTTGCTCCCAAACTTAATCCTCCCATGCTGTGGTAGGATGGGAGGATTTTTCCTTACAAAAAAGATGGTTCACCAAAGTGGCTGGGTACTAAATAAACATAAAGCAACAGCTTTCATATAGCCACATGATATTTACTTAGCAGATATAAAAAAATAAATGAAATATCTCATTTATAGTATGTAGTAGTTAATACAAAAGAGAAAATAAACCTAACAAGAGATGCGCAAAAACTATAGGAGGAACAATTCTGAACATTACTGAAGGACTCAGATGCAAATGAAAATAGAAAAACATACCACGCTCCTAGGTAGGAAAAGAAGAGAATAAAGATATCAGTTCCCTAACTCATGTAAACTTTGTAGTTCTAGTAGGTTAACCACAACGAGAAGTGGCCCAGTTAATAATTAACAGCAAACACTTACCCAGTGAGTATTACGTGCTAGACACTTAGATCTCCTAATCTTTTAATCTTCATGTCAGTCTTATAGGGTAGATCCTAAAATTATCTCCATTGCATAGACAGGGAGACAGGCACGTAGGTTGAGGAATTTACCCAAGATCACATGGTTGGAAATTGGGGACCCAGGGAGACCCACAAAGAAAGAAATCTGGTTTTGGACCACAACACTACACCACAGAGCCAAGGACTCCAAGAGGAGGCCACACCTGCTGTGATGGCACAGACCTCAGCCACACAGGGTTCCAGTCTCTTTCATTTACTCAGTATTGTATTCAGCACAGAGGTACAAACTGCAATTAGGAAGGCGTCCTAATCCCAGAACTGTCACCATCTAAAATTTTACTCTATTTTTTTTTGTTTTTGAGACAGAGCCTCCAGCTATACCCCTGGGTAGAGTACTATGACCTTAGGTGTATGTGGCTGGCACCTTAGCCACTTGAGCCACAGGCGCCCAGCCACCATCTAAAATTGAACTACAGAGTCAATATTCAACATGTTGTCATCTATGAAAACTCTCTGCACCAAGTGCATCTTTAAGACTCTAAACATTTGCTGAGATAAACATACGTTTTTGATTTTTTTTTTTTGAGACAGCCTCACACTGTTGCCCCAGGCTAGCTCACAGCAATCTCAATTCCCTCGGTTCAAGCGATCCTCCTGCCTCAGCCTCCTGAGTAGCTGGGGCTACAGGCGCCCATCACAACACCTGGCTAGTTTTTTTTTTCTTTTCTTTTTTTTTTT